TTTGTGCCAATTCAAAGAAATTCGTAAATAATTGCACGCGCGGCTAAAACAAGATACAGAACGAAAACGTTAGTTGCGTGTTGGTAGTTAAGCAACGAAGCTACCAAGGATCGCGGCGTTCCATGAAGTCCACGCGCATGTTTATCTACGAGCAGGCAGCTGATTTATTATAACGGCGATAAACGCAAGTAATCGCAGCCTAATCGACCAGCAATTAACCTCGCGTTTCCAATTAACGAAGTAAGCCACGATCGTATTTCTCACTGAGATCTCTGAGTAACGACGAGGCTGATTAGTAATCTCTGATTTGTACTCAGAGTTATGTTATTATCAATATCGTTTGATGCGTTGCATCGATATTGATGACAGCTGACAAAAAGATAATCACTTTTAACTAAAATAACAAATAATGCAATGTTTCAAAGATTTCAATTGTTTGAAAGATTTATATAACGTATAAGTTATTCATATCGTATTTATTCAGATTTACATGATCAAATAAAAGGTTTCGAGAACGTAAGTATATAGCTTCCGATGACGCGTGAGGAATATAATTTTTCTTTATGTAATCTTTTTTTATTGTTATGTAAGTTAATAATTTATAAAATTTTTTAATTATTCGTGATGCCAAATATTTGGTTGAGAAGCACATTCAGTACTGAAGACATAATATGTATAATATAAAAATTAAATAATTTTTTAATGTGGATACAAATATATTTATGTATGTATTTTAAGCCTGTATGTATTTCATAAAAACTGGCCTATTTGAGTGAAATAAAGTGACCCTATAGATTATAATAAAAGGAGAAGAGAGTATCTCCTTAATAATATAATATAATTATATTGGATATATCGGATATGGTTGATCAAAGCATACACACATGCACAGAATAACTCGCGTGGAAAAAGCTCGCGGAGCGAGTGAGCCAAGAAATCTCCAGACGGTATACCGAGGTAGTCCATAAGTCAGATTCAAGGCGGTGCGGATACCCGAAGATATCCATGAGGAACGATCCGGCGCGCCTTCTTATCCACGTCCGATCTCGTCGGACATTATAGGCGCGACAAGGTGGAAAGGAGACGCTGACGCCGACCGACGAAAAAGAAAGAGAAAGAGAAAGAGAAAGAAAAAGGGAGACAGAGAACGCCAACGACGAAGAAGGAAACGTAGACAGAGGCGAAAAGGAAGAGAGAAAAGGCGGGTGAAAAAAGATTTTATGAAAATCGATCCCAGTGGATGTGTGGTCGCCGCCTCCTGGAACACGGAGTCCCAGGTTTCGCCACGTGGGCGTTATTCGCTCCGCCTCTGAAACTCACAGCGATCGGATCAGAAGAACCGCCTAGTCCGGTCACTAACGATCCAACGGTCCCTCCCCGGTTATGCCTGTCCTCGTGTTTTCCTCACCCCTCACTTTCCGCGCTCCCATCCCTTCCTGGCAGAGACCAAGAGACTCCACTCGACGGCGTCGCTGCTACCTCCCGCACCGCGGCTTCTCCTCATCCCGCGTCACCAACGGGAGAGGTGACTGTCCAGGACAGTTTCAAAGACGCAGTCACCGGCTGCACCACGTCTTGGAAGCAGTCCTGTGTTACCTCATATACAAAACCAATACAACGACGCGAGTGCAATAGATATCGCGAGTCCGTGCATGGTTCCTCAAGATCGAAGGAATCAATTGGACGACGGACTGACAGATTGACGGATCGACGGATTGACGATCTGATTTGAAACCGAATTGAATCAGATTGATCTTGGAATTATTGAAGTTATTCTGAAAATTACGACTATTGTCGATTTAAGAGGTAAACGGAAGTGACAATATGACTTGATATTGTGAGGAAGGTGCAATTTCGAAGCTAGTTTTGTGATGAGAATGCCGATAGACAGTAAATATTCTTTAGAATTGATGGAACACTCGACAATGCGGACATTTTGAAGATCGCAAGAAAAATATGGATACCTAAAATGTACTACACTAATTGTTGAAAGATAACTGTCAGCATAATACAGTGGCTATTTGTGCAACCAATGTTTCAATAGAATAGAATCGAATTACTGTTTTAAAGCTAGAAATGAAAGCAATTTTAGAAACTTTATAAAAACTCTTTAGATAATTTAAATATACTAGATTAGTGGTGGATTTAAACAAAACTTGAAAATAAAAATTCTGATTATAATCATATATCATATTTGAAAATAGAAATTCATATAGAGGTTTGACAGAGTTTTTATGCGGTGCAAAACAAACATTCCGTTACACAGAAGGATAAGTCTTTCAGACATTTTTTCCGCAGCTTATAATGATCTCGGAATTTGGCAGGTAGAAGGCAGTACGTAGTGACTCACAGTGTGTGTCAACGCGACGGCGACCTTTATTGGAATCTGGCGCCTTTTCTTCATCGGTTCTGAAATAAGCTACAAGCGCATAAAATTAGTGCGCAGTAATTATTGGAAAGTCATTATTGATCGAAACAATTGATAATCTGGTAAAGTATTTCGCAAGTGCTTTTTCCAGTGCCAGTGGAGATCGCGAATAAATTTTCGAACAATATGAAATAAATTGATCATAATTTCTCGGGGGCTTTCTGAGTTTAGTAATTGATATCTTTGACAAATATCTTCCTACACAGAAGACACGACTAATTATTTAATTGACACAAGAGAGAAGAAAAGAGTGAGAAGTGACACGTTGCCATGCGCAATTATTAATCAGACACAGAGTGTTGAGAAGAGAAGACTATATAAAATCATATGTTTCTGCTACGAAGATTCCCTAACCGTATAAAATTTCGACAGGACAAGGATGTCAATCATTAACTGATAATATGTGAGTACGATGTTCTACTTTTTACACGTGATAGCGAAATTTTTTACACGCGTTACATCATTTTTAATATTTTGTTAAAATATTCGTTCGGCTAATGCTGAAAACTGAAATCGAGGCAAAATTTACCACTCGTGTATTATTGCAAAAGGCATTATTGCTACAATTGACTATTTGAACACAACAATATGCGTATCGTCGACCAATTTGCTTTGTGTAGTGTGAAACTAACTCCGTAATTTAATAGAACCTGAGCTTGCGGTTTCTGCAGAACAAAGTTTCAAATTTTGTCGAGATGGATATCGCAAAAATAAGTTTGGTATTAATTACACATCCGAGCGAAAATAATTAGCACAATTCAAACTGAAAATGGTGCAGTTTTCAACGAATCGCGCTTAACTCTATCGCGACTGTATTTGAGAGAGTAACCGATAAGGATGACCATCGCGCGAGCGTTATGCTTATCAGGATGCATACTGCATCGCGATCATAGTATATTTATTATATTGATATGCGGCCTCTTATCATCCGTTTCCGCATATTAACATTAATTAGTGACGATAACGATGGTGATAGCATGTACGGAAACACACAATCTTCGTTTGCACGTTTGTAAATTTTTGTCAAGCGCAATATTCAGATCACTATTGAATGTAAAATTGCACACTAATTGCTAGATTGATATCAATTGCAAAAAGAGGAAATTCTATGCATTTGAATTTTCCTCTTTCTTCTTTTTTCCTATACCTGTATCGTTTATATGTACATATCGTACATTATCAGCTTTTAAAAAAATTTTTTTTGTTCTCTTTTTTTTCAAGTTTTTAATGAAAAGGCTACCTTATGTAAGCTAATTACGTAAACTAATTAAATTTACGTGTATCTTTATTTTAATCGTTATATTATTATATTATTAATATATTATTAAGCAGCGCTGATAATTGTTGCGCTGATAATTGTGGCATTTAATGAGTATCTTTGATGTGGATATCTCGATAATTAATATCACTACCAACTTCCAGACTTCTAGACTCAAACTATTGTAACATTTTTCAGTGTCACAATTTTCATTTTGCATTTGCAAATTGTTGTTTATACATGACGATCGAGTGTTGTGGTTCGCGTGATGAAACTTCGGTGATATAAAGACGACGGTGATTAACAGGGTATCGGCAGCATCGAACAGCCCTTGTAACTGTAAGAGCTGTTCGATGTTAGCTGCCGACCGATATCAATTAATTTCACTCATTACTGTTAATTATTCAGAAGGGAATACCAAGAAGATAGGATAATATTTAATTTAATATGTAGATGCAAATAATTGGTTCTAAGGCTCTTTAATTATCTCTTGATTAGTAAAATATGCAACTTGAAAGAAAAACTAACGAATTTTGCATAGAATGCTATAAGCATTTTTCTCACACATACAGCGCTCACGCGAATTTTTTAATTTTATTTTAAGATTAAGAATTTGAGCTCGAAAAAAGTATTAGGATATAAATAATATAAATAAATTATTACATAAATTATAAACAGAAATTAGTATCTATCTATATAAATTGACATAATTTTTTAATAAAACTGTGGTCTAAGTTTTGTCAACATTACGTATTCAAAAAGATAAAAAATAAAAAAATAAAAAGTTTACACTCTTCTAAAAACTAAATGCGCAAAGTTAAATAATTTTCAACATATACCGTAATTTCAACGTTAAACTACGAGTTAACATCCGCTTCGATTGTAAAGAAACAACGTAAAAAACTTATCATTGCTAATAATTGCATTGCAATTTCGTCATGTGTTCTAGGCGCGGAAATAACTCGATACATTCTTTGGAGAAGCACGACTGCTGTCGATAAATCGCGAATTACTCCACGCGCCTACCGTATTATCAGTTATCGATTATTACAATCGAGAATATGAAACATTTTACTGCATAGCATGACATTACCATCGCATCTGGTGGTAAGCGATAGTCGGAGCTACAACCGTCATAGTTTGTTATCTAGTCCCCTTTTGTTATCTGAAACGAAATTGGAAAAAATGCCTTTGCTTGGACACAAAACCTTTCCGTATTTCGATTCTTAGCATACATATGTTGCATAGAACGTAGAATTAGAGATACGACTAAAGTAAAATGTGTATATTAAATTGTAGAAAAATATAAAATATAAATTTTATTCACGTATTATTAAAAGAAAATTAATATTCTTTATATTGTTGTTTATAATAAAAATGGACTTTATTGCAAATATTATAAAGGAAAATTTCTTTGAAGTAAAAAAAAACTAAATAAAGTTTCTTTGATTTAATATTACGAATTAATATTCATCGTTTTGAGTTTTATGTTTTATGGTTTTGGATAACAAATATTATATAATTTAACTAAAGCTCTTGGCTCTGTGTCATAACGTATAATTTTTTTTTCGATTAACTTTTAATAACATTTATTAGCATTAATTCAATGTAAATAATATACCTAATTGTACGTATAAATTTACAAGTAAATGTATTTTATTAATATCACATTTGAACAGATCTACGCAGCTGGTGAAATTCTAGCGGTTATAAATATCGATTTATCTATCAAGATGCTATGCCAGACATCGTCAATGATCCAGCATCTGTTGCACGAGATATTTTCCAGGACCGCCATCGCGCTGTCTGGACGTCCCGTTACCTGAACAGTTTTTAACTTCTTTTTTTATCCATCTATTAACCTTTGACATCATACTAAAAGCGTCTCTATTCCATACGGCAATCGTTCTTTGATGCGTCAATTGCCAAACCTCTGTGAAATTTTCTTTGTGATTATGGATTTCCGATCATCTAAATCGCAGTTTAAATAAATTGAGAACATTTTGCCTTCTTCTTTTGTAATTGTACACATATATGGAGGGGTAAAAACCACAGTGGTGTAAGTCAAACTTTTAAAAATATTTTCTCGTGTGCATAGATGCAATCTGTACAATATATAAATTGCATTTATGCACACGAGAAAATATTTTTAAAAATTTGACTTACACCACTGTGGTTTTTACCCCTCAATATGTATGTGTTTTTTAAATAAATTAAATAAATAATTTATCTCTCAAGTTACACACAACTTTTAGAATTTCGATATAATTAATATTTCTGTAGCTCTTAATATGGTTAAAAGAGTTCCGAAATTAATTTTACGTGTCAAAAGTCACGTAAGATCAGAAAGTAGGATTATCAATCATCAAAAGATTTATCGCGCGATTAATTAATAACAACGTGTAAATTCTGGACATACTTGTACTTATAAAAAGAGGTAAATATTATCACATTAAATAATTTCCTTAAACAAATAGATGCAAACCTACCTAGTGAGCTCTATAAAAATTACGCACATTTTGAGATAGATAATTAGTCAGCTATTGTTACTGGTTATCACACGCATAGGCCGTATCGCGGTGCGGGAAATAGCTGTTTAGATAAAACTCGTAGTGAAAGAATGGCGGTGCCGGCATATTTCGATGTACCGCGATACGTATTCATGAAGTTATCATTGACTTCTTAACATCGCCCTGTTTGTGTGTTATGGCGCGCTATGTTCCAATGGAATAACGATAGGATCATTATAAATACTTTATAGTATAACGAAATTCACATTTGTTTCTGTGTGGGGTCTTACATTACTCTCAATAATTTAACTTGTAAGTTAAATCTCGCAGTTCTTTTTAAATAAACTCTTTTCAAAATATATTTTCTATAATCATGAAAGATTGTTATTTAGAAATATGGATACTTATTAACTGATAACATAATTGACAATGTGGATAAGTGGTCTAAAACTCGATTGGTCCTCATAGTAATATTTGCCAAATCTGTATTTTCTTTGTTTAAATAAAACTTTAAAACTCAAGATGTCTGGTAAATTTTTCCGAGACAAAAAGATGTCCACGTGAACATACGTACAACTATCAGTCGCTCGTAAAGCAGGATCGCGTAGACTTCTCTCACCATGGAACAATGTCTGTCGCTACATCGCGATACGTTCGTACACCACTCGGTTTCGGTATCGAGCTTGTCTTTTATCGCGTCGCGAAGCCACGCTCGTACGCCTTACCAACGCTCGACAAGTGTCGCGACATGCGGGTGGAACTCCACTTTTCATCCTCTCTCCACTACGTATACAGTTATTAGAAACAGGGCTAATATTGATGTATTCGAATTGGTGCAAAGGCTGTATTAGTTATATAATATGTGTATATGATATTTTATATTATTTTTTGTTAATGTAAATTAGAATTTTATCAAATATTATTGGTCATTCAGTATTGATAAAATGACGATGTAAAAACCGCGGTATACGTGAGTAATATGCTAAATTCCTTTGTCAATGATATCACAATAATAATCAACATTTTCAATTATTAAGAATTTTTTTTTCCTTAAAACGTCGTTTAATAATAAAGCAATAAAATTTGAACGTTAATTTATCTTTAGTAATGTCTAGCAAATTTGCTAATTTATTAAGTAACTTAATCATCGCGAACACGCGAATAACATGCCTGGCGGGAATTATGCATCGTGATTTAGCTTGCAAATGGCGTCATTTGAAAATTACTCGGTCGAGTTTGCTACGTAGGTAAGACCAGAACATACTACTATCGGCCACTTCACGATAGGCTATCGCTCTACCGGGTGCTCTTTGGCGATTACTTCACATCCGCCTGAAACAGTCGTCCCTAATCTTTCTGGGCGATGAGACCGGCCACCTTCCGCCTGCATTTCACTCTTTTTCTAGGTAGGTAACTTAAAGCACTCGCACGGTATCATATATAGATACCTATATAAACAATCTCATAGAAAGCGTGCTTTCAAATTATTAATTTTTAGATACTAGAGAAATTAATCTGAGCTATATTTGCAATCATGGACTCATCTCTTATAGCCAATTTCTTCACCGTCAGATAACTCTATCCTTCGGTTAACCTCACTCTTCATTTCTTTCTAACTGCTCCCTTAGAAAGAGA